TTAAAATATTCCAAGAAAGAGAGGGAGAGGGAGAAGGAGGGAAGGTAGGGGGGAAGAAAGAGAAAGAGACAGAAAGGTGGCTATTTGAAACAAATATGGCAAAATTTTGTTGAAGCTTGATGATGGATACGTGAGGGTTTTAGTATACTGTACTTTTGTTGACATTTAGAAATTTTCATAATAAAAAGTTTTAAAAAGATAAAAATATGTCAGGTACTTATTTCTGGGCTGGCAGGGAGGAAGTTGTGATAAGGAAAGGACATGTTGAGGGATTTTTGGCTTTGGTAACTTTCTATTTCTTTAACCTAGGTGGTTGCTACACAGATGTTTGCTTTTTAAAATTTGTTTACACATACCCTTTTCCTGTATGTGGTTATGTTTCCCAATTTTAAAGGTAAATAAAAGAAAACAGGAAACAGTTTTGTATGAATACTCTCTAATTATAATACTATCGATCTTTCAGGTAAATAATGTTTTTGTATCTGTGAAACTTTTATCCATAGATACCAAGGAGTAACGGATTCCCATTTGGAGTAATAATTGGTCATTATATTATTTGGCTTAAGTTGGCTCAACTTGATGTTTAATAAGTAAGTTGTTAAATATTTTAGTGCAACAGTGAAACAGGTCTACGTGTACACTTTCTTTCCAATCTATTCTACTGTACTCTTGCTTAAGAGTGTGAGGGGTCGAGACATTGCATACCTGCAAGGCCCACACCCCAATGAAGCCGGGGTCGAGACATTGCACACCTGCAAGGCCCACACCCCAGTGAAGCCAAAAGTAACATCCGGCTTCTGGAAACTGTTGCTTGCTTGCCATGGAAACTGTTGCTTGCTTGCTTGATTGCGCCAACTTTACATTGTTCAGACCCCTGTATAGTGGGGCTGCCAGCCAACCAATCATGTTAAAGGTCAATGCATGATCCACGCGTGATCAGCCACTGCATAGCGTATGCACCATAGGGATAAAAGGCACGCTGCAACCCCAGTCGGGGTCCTTGCCTGCAAGAGTGACCACTGCGTTGGTGCTCTGGGGCTTAGACCCTGGCTAGCCAAAAAATAAACCTCCTCTTGTGTAATTACATCCTCGATGTCTCTGCTTTTCTGTCCGGTGGGGCTGTGGAAGGTCGGTCCCTAACATTTGGGGGCTCGTCCGGGATTTGCCTTCCCTACAGACTACTGGATAGAATTCAGGGCTGAGGGAGGAGTGTGAAAATCCACCCCGGACTAGCCGGGTGTGGTGTTGGGCAAGGGACGCGGAATCCCCTTGCAGGACCCCGGATCAGGACGCCGGCACAGGACCTAGGCGGACGCGCTGGTGGGTCGCCGGTCGGAGCCAGGCGGAGACGTCCTCTGGCCCTGTTGGGACTCCGGAGCTGACCTTGTAGCCTAGGGCTCGGTCAGGAGGAGCTGGAGCTGACCTTGTAGCCAAGGGCTCGGTCAGGAGGAGACCGGGGAGTAGGTCCGGACCAGGTTAGGTTGTCTGTTTACCTCACTGTCCACTTGTCTGTTGTCTGCTTTGTTTGTCGCCGGCTTTCTGTGTGTGTGTGAGTGAGTGTGACATCTCTCGTTGGCTTGTTGGAGTCTCTGGGTTCTGTGGTTTCGGCCCGAGAACCCATCAGGGTTGCATGGGTTTTCGGGCTGGGGCCATGGAATCAGGGGACCCACAAAAAGATCCGCAGAAGTGACTAGAACCTCCAGGTGAGTATTCCCCTACATGGGCTGGCAGCGCACAGTATATCTCCTGCCGCCCGTGCCAGGAGTGGCTAGTGCGGGAGGGGCACGGCCGTTACCTCCGTAGGGAGTGTAAAAGGCTAGAGGTTCAGATCCTTGTCCCCAGTGCCCCAACTGCAGAATATTGGTTTGCACATCTGCCTATTATCGACTAGCCATGGGACAGGCTCTAACAACGCCGTTGTCCAACCTGGTGAGCCATTTTAAGGATGTCAGGGCAAGGGCACACAACCTGTCCCTAGAGGTCAAGAAGGGAAAGTTTGTTACCCTTTGTGAGGCCGAGTGGCCCACGTTTGGAGTGGGGTGGCCCAGGGAGGGCTCGTTTGATGCCTCCTTGATCAAAAAGGTAAAAGGGGTGGTATTTGGCCACCACGGACACCCTGATCAGATCCCCTATATTGTGGTCTGGCAAGACTGGGTTTGAGACCCGCCATCCTGGCTGAAGGCCCCCCTACCTGCCCCGAGGGGAAAGGCGGAAGTTCTGGCAGTTAAAGAAGTCAGAAAGAGGGGGGGGGGCACGGAGTCCGAGGTCCATTGGGACACCAGTGTTGCTGGACTCCAATCTCTACCCAGACCTGACAGGTCTCGAATGAAACACGCCTCCACCCTATAATCCTGGGGCAGCCTCTGCAGCTCCCCCGGCCCAGGAGGACGCGGGACCACCGGCAGCATGGCCGGCCTATAAAACCAGACAGCAGACTGGCCGGGCCCCAGACCCGGAGCCCTTAAAGGCGCTCCCTCTGAGAGCAGTGGGACCCCTGGGGAAGGACAGAGCACAGACATTCCAATATTGGCCCTCCTCTACCAGTGATCTTTATAATTGGAAGGCTCAAAACTCAAACTTCTCTGAGAACCCCAGAGATCTCATTAACCTTTTAGATTCTGTTCTTTTTACACATCAGCCCACTTGGGATGATTGCCAGCAGCTGCTCAAGGTGCTTTTCACCACAGAAGAAAGAGAAAGAATTCAGGGGGAGACACGGAAGCTGGCCCCGGGTGAAGATGGCAGACCTGCCACGAATCCGCAGACCATTGATCAGACCTTCCCCCTTGAATGGCCACCCTGGGACTACAATGAGGCTAAAGGTAGGGAGCGTCTCCAGGTCTACCGCCAGACTCTGATGGCCGGTCTCCTTATGGCGGCGCGAAAGCCGACCAATTTGGCCAAGGTAGGAGATGTTCGTCAGGGGCTGGAGGAGAGCCCGGCAGCATACTTAGAGAGGATCATGGAGGTCTTCCGGCAGTACACCCCCATAGATCCCACTATGGAAGGCAGCAAGCCACTGTTATGATGGCGTTTATTAATCAGGCAGCCCCAGACATCAGGCGCAAGGTGCAAAAAATAGATAGATTAGACAAAAAGACTCTGCAGGACCTGTTAAAAAGTGGCAAAAAAGGTCTATAACAATAGAGAAACGCCAAAAGAGAAGTTAGAGAGGATCGGGATAAAAGATAAAAAATTCCAAGCTGGAGAGGCGCGTAAAGCAAACAAAGAAATGGCAAAAATCCTGCTAGCCGCCACGAGAGGGGGGCAGACAGGGTCAGAGGAGAGGAGAAGGCCCCGGCGAGAGAGGCTAGGCAAAGATCAATGTGCTAATTACAAAAAACATGGGCACTGGGCCCAAAAATGTCCCCCCAAAAAAGGGGGGCAAAGACTTAGAGGTCCTAAAAAAGTCATGGCTGCAGGACAGGTGACAGATAAATAAAAAAGACGGGGTTCAGTCCCCCTCCCCAAACCTAGGGTAACTTTGCAAGTAGAGAAAAACCCAGTCAGCTTCCTCATAAATACAGGAGCTAAACTATATCGGTAGACCACACGGCGGAGATTAAATTTGGGTTCAGGACAAGTGAGTCACACCTTTATGGTCATCTCTGAGTGCCCCACGCCGCTACTGGGAAGAGACATCCTTACCAAGCTTAAGGCTATCAACAGCCCCGGGTCACTCAGATCCTGACCCTGACACAGGCAAATAAATATAGACTATACCAGCCCATAAAAAGCAAAAAAAAAGGCATAGAGCAATGGCTCTATAAATTTCCCATGGCGTGGGCCAAGACAGGGGGCACAGGATGGGCAAAACACCGGCCGCCTCTTTACGTTGAGTTAAAACCCGGAGCCGAGCCAGCCCAAGTCAGACAGTACCCCATGTCCCAAAAAGCCAGAGTGGGAATTACGCCCCACATTCAGAGACTCCTGGACAGTGGGATTCTCCAAAAATGCCAGTCGGCCTAAAACACCCCCCTGTTGCCGGTAAAAAAAAACCGGGGTGTAAGGACTAAAAGGCTCGACCTCTGTATAAAGGGTGTAAGGCGGGGCGAGCATGAGAGTGGACTGTGCAAATAAAAGACTCTTTTCAAGCCCTGAGGGCAGCCATGCTAAAAGCCCCAGCCCTAGCACTCCCTGACAAAAGAGTTTCGCCTGTTCATAGACAAAAAAAAAAAAAAAAAAAATAGCTAAGGGCATACTCACACAGGCCCTAGGGCCCTAAAAAAGGCCAGTGGCATACTTGTCAAAAAAATTAAATCCAGTGGCGGCGGGGTGGCCTGCGTGCCTGCAAATAATCGCAGCCACAGCCCTGTTGGTCAAGGACGCTGACAAGCTTACTTTGGGGCAGAGATTGTTAATCACCACGCCACACGCTATAAAAAGAGTTCTAAAGCAGCCGCCGGGGCAATAGATCACAAATGCAAGGCTGACCCATTACCAAGGGCTCCTGCTGGATGCACCCCGAGTTGAGTTCCAAACCCCCACTGTCCTAAACCCCGCAACGCTTCTACCAAACCCCGATTCTGCCGCGCCTGAACACGACTGCCTCGAGATCTTGGCTGAAACCCAGATGGCTCGGCAAGACCTGCAGGACCGCCCCCTTCCGAGCAGCGACCTAACTTGGTTCACGGACGGGAGCAGTTTCGTCCGCGATGGACACAAATATGCGGGGGCGGCCATAGTCTATGATCAAGGCAAACTTGTCTGGGCGGCATGCCTTCCACAGAGAACATCTGCCCAAAAGGCAGAATTGATTGCACTGACAGAAGCTCTTAGTCGGGCCCGAGGAAAGAGGCTGACAGTATATACTGACAGCCGCTATGCTTTTGGTACTGTGCACATACATGGAGCCCTCTACAGAAAAAGGGGGTTCATCACAGCAAAAGGAAAAGAGATTAAGCACAAGCCCAAAATACTCCACTTGCTAGAAGCTGTCTTGCTTCCAAAGGCAGTGGCGGTAGTCCACACCCCTAGACATCAGGGTAGAGACTCACTGGAGGCACGGGGCAATCAAAGAGCAGATGCCGAGGCTAAAAGAGCAGCAAAAAGTGCTGCGCCACCCCACATTCTGCATATAAGCCTACCACCCCCGGGCATAGGACAGATACCTCCTCTGCCAGACTACTCCAGCACAGATAAAGCCTGGGCTACAAAACAGCTAAATGTGCAAAAAGACGAAGAACGCCGCCTGATAGTGCCAGAGACTTTGGGACGTCACCTGTTAACGCACCTACACCAGACCACACATTTAAAAAAAAAAAAATGCTACAACTATTAAACACCGCCCAGCTTAGGTTCATGTCACAGAGACGAGTGGCGAGCGACATCGTCCGGGACTGCCAAGCCTGTCAAGTCATACAGCCGGGGAGGGCCAAAGGGACCCACGCAGGTACGAGAGAAAGGGGGAGGCAGCCAGGGCTGTTCTGAAAAATAGATTTTACAGAAATAAAGCCTAAAAAATATAGATACCGATATCTGCTAGTTATGGTAGATACGTTCTCCGGGTGGATAGAGGCTTTCCCCACTAAGAGAGAGACTGTTCTAACAGTAGCCAAAAAAATATTTAAAAAAATAGTTCCTAGATATAGACTGCCAAAAAAAAATAAAATAAAATAATAGACCTGCTTTTGTCAGCCAAGTTAGTCAGGGACTGGCCCAGGCTCTGGAGACCAATTAAAAACTGCATTGTGCCTATAACCCCCAGAGCTCAGGGCAGGTAAAAAAAATAAACAAAACAATAAAGGAGACTCTGACTAAATTGGCCCTAGAGACTGGCGGGGACTGGGTGACCCTCCTTCCCTTCGCCCTGTTCCGAGCCCAGAACACCCCCTATCATTTAAGTTTAACCCCCTTTAAAATCATGTATGGCACTCCTCCGCCCGTGGTCCCCAGGGTGAGCCCCGAGGCTCTCCCAAAACACCCCAAACACGTGTTGCAAGCCATACAAGCTCTGCAGCGTTCACAGCCGAGTGTGGCCGGCCCTCCGCGCCATATACCAGGCCACAGGGCTGGGGGCAGGTAGTGCTAAACATTCTTATCACCCACACCAGTCGGGGGACTGGGTGTGGGTAAAAAGACATAACAGCAAAACCCTCGAGCCTAAATGGAAGGGCCCCTTTCAAGTTATCCTTGTTACTCCCACTGCCCTCAAGGTGGATGGAATATCAACCTGGATACACCACTCCCACGTGAGGTCGGCTAGCAAGAGCGACCAAGAGCAGTGCCAGAGCCAGTGGAAGGCAACGGTGGATCCAGAGAACCCCCTAAAGACCAGGCTGACCCGAGTGACACCAGCATAGATGAACTTAGTGACTCCAGTCCTCTTTGGAGTACTGGTCATACTAGTTGGAGTCGGACTTGGGACTGTAGCACCTAGAGGTTGGACTCCGTCACAGAGATGCATGCTAGGCTTGTTTTATATCTTTTATGTGGGTGCTTTGGGGTTACTTTGCTTGTGGGCAGGAGTGTGGCAGCCGTGATAAATAGCAATCCCCACCAACCTCATAACCTCACATGAGAGATTGCCAATCAGGAGACTCATAAAGTCTAAAATGTGACTTCAGGGGTAGGCCCCATAAACGGATGATGGCCAGACCTTATGTTTAACCTAAAAAAAATAAGCCCCATCAGCGTGAGTGAGCCCCCAGGGGCGCCCGGCCCTCGGCCAAGTGGGATTGTGTCACCACAGGCAGTAGGGCCCAACCAGGTGCTGCACCCACGGCCGGCCACGGTGCACCCCAAACCAGTGATAAAGTTAGGGACAAACTCACTCACCCTAGGGAGCCCCATAAGCACGGTGCCTAAAGTAAAACTTAGAGATCCTCTGTAAAAGATGTTGACAGCTGCATACAAAGCAGTAAAAATGGCCGTCAATTTCAACCTCTCCACAGAAGCCTCCCCTAGGTCATGTCAATGGGACCGTAAAGGCCCTGGTCTCACTTTTCAGTCAGTTCTTGGCAAGGGGACCTGCCTGGGAACAGTGCCACCCAGCCATGCACAGCTCTGTGCCGGGGGTAACAGTAATAAATCAATCAAAAAAAAAAAAATGGGTCATTCCCGGGCCAAGTGGATGGTGGATTTGCTCCAAAACCAGTTTAACCCCTTGCCTTAGCCTATCAGTTTTTAATAAATCTAAAAATACTGTGTTATGGTGTTAGTGTTCCCTAAAATAATATACCATACAGTAGAGACCATATACACCAGCAGAGCAGGCCAAGGGGTCACTAACCTAATTTTCCAAAAAAAAAAAAAAACCCTTGCAGCCATTACCCTAGCCACACTTTTTGGCTTGGGGGCAATAGGAGCAGGGACTGGTATCTCCTCCCTAGCGATGCAACAGAGAGGGTTCAGCACCTTGAGAGCAGCCATTGATGAAGACATTGCAAAAATAAAAAAGTCTATCTCCCATCTAAAAAAGTCTCTGACCTCCCTGTCCAAAGTAGTACTACAAAATCAGAGGGGGCTAGATCTAGTGTTCCTTCAACAGGGGGGGCTATGTGCTGCCCTCCAAGAAGAGTGCTGTTTCTATGCAGACCACACAGGAGTCGTCAAAAAAATCTATGGCTAAAGTTAAAAAAGAGCTTGCCCGCCACAAGCAAAAAAACGAGCTACAGGCAGGTTGGTTTAAATCTTGGTTTAACAGCTCCCCTTGGCTAACTACCCTTATCTCAACGCTATTAGGACCACTAGTAATTCTGCTCTTAGTCTTTACATTCGGACCCTGCATATTAAACAAGATAATAACCTTTGTAAAAAAAAAAGGGTTAATACAGTACAGCTTTTAGTGTTGCAGCCGCAGTATCAAAAGCTCTAGTCAGATAGCACAGACTTAAAACCTTTAAAAGACCCAAGAGACGAGCAAGAGTGCTCGACCAGCTTCTAAAGAAAGGGGGGAATGTGAGGGGTCCAGACATTGCATACCTGCAAGGCCCACACCCCAGTGAAGCCAAAACTAACATCCGGCTTCTGGAAACTGTTGCTTGCTTGCCATGGAAACCGTTGCTTGCTTGCTTGATTGCGCCAACTTTACATTGTTCAGACCCCTGTATAGTGGGGCTGCCAGCCAACCAATCATGTTAAAGGTCAATGCATGATCCACGCGTGATCAGCCACTGCATAGCGTATGCACCATAGGGATAAAAGGCACGCTGCAACCCCAGTCGGGGTCCTTGCCTGCAAGAGTGACCACTGCGTTGGTGCTCTGGGGCTTGGACCCTGGCTAGCCAAAAAATAAACCTCCTCTTGTGTAATTACATCCTCGATGTCTCTGCTTTTCTGTCCGGTGGGGCTGTAAAAGGTCGGTCCCTAACAAGAGCTCAGATCAAAATGTTTGAAGAAACTTTATTCTTGTATTTCAGTGCATTTTTTATGCTTAAGATATGATCAACAGGTTCTGTATCTTAGGACATCTGCAACTCAACGTTTCCTGCTTTTTTTTTTTTTTTTTTTTTGAGACAGAGTCTCACTTTGTTGCCCAGGCTAGAGTGCCGTGGCGTCAGCCTAGCTCTCACCAACCTCAAACTCCTGGGCTCAAGCAATCCTGCTGCCTCAGCCTCCCGAGTAGCTGGGACTACAGGCATGTACCACCATGCCCGGCTAATTTTTTCTATATATATTAGTTGGCCAATTAATTTATTTCTATTTATAGTAGAGACGGGGTCTCACTGTTGCTCAGGCTGGTTTCAAACTCCTGACCTTGAGCAATCCGCTCGCTTCGGCCTCCCAGAGTGCTAGGATTACAGGCGTGAGCCACTGCACCCGGCCAACGTTTCCTGCTTTTGAAGCAAAGTGCGGAGAACATTTGTTTGCCTGCACTGAACATGAGAGTATATGTGTATATATGGGTGTTTTAAAGTATACGTGACTGGCCTTTTCACTCCCTGTCTCTAGGTGATGCTGCATTTGAGAAGCTGCACTTTCTTTTAGTCTGATAGTAGGCAGTGTCTTTTGACCATTTATGAATAACAACAAATATATATTGCTGACATGACTAATACAAAAATTTTAAAGGTAAGATCATGGTTTTAAACTTTTAGTTCAAGGCATGTCAGACACTGGGGAGCTTCTTTTACTGCCCTAAAAAAGAAATCTTCCTCACACTCTTCTCTTCACAAAAATTAACTCAAAATGGATCATAGACCTCAAAATGGATCAAACATAAAATTCCAAACTATAAAACTCCTAGAAGACGATATAGGAGAAAATGTAGGTGACCTTGGGTATAGCAATGACTTTTTAGATACAACACCAAAGGCATGATCCATGAAATAAATAATTGATGAGCTGGACTTCATTAAGGTTAAAAACTTGTGCTTCATACTTGGGAGGCTAAGACAGGACAATTGCTTAAGCTCAGGAGTCCAAGACCAGCCTGGCCAACATGGCAAGACCCTGCCTTTAAAAAAAAGGGCAAAAGACCTAAACAGACATTTCAACAAAGAAGATACACAGATGGGGGCTGGGCACGGTGGCTCACGCCTGTAATCCTAGCACTCTGGGAGGCCGAGGCAGGTGGATCATTCAAGCTCAGGAGTTTGAAACCAGCCTGAGCAAGAGCGAGACCCTGTCTCTACTAAAAACAGAAAAATTAGCCAGGCATGCTGGTGCATGTCTGCAGTCCCAGCTACTCAGGAGGCTGAGGCAGGAGAATTGCTTGAGTCCAGGAGTTTGAGGTTGCAGTGAGTTATGATGATGCCAGTTGCACTCTAGCTGGGGTGACAAAGCAAAACTCTGTCTCAAAAATAAAAAATAAATTTAATAAATTTTTACAAAAGAAAAGAAGCATGTGAAAAGATGCTCCACATCATATGTCATTAGGGAAATGCAAAGTAAAATAACAATGAAATACTACCACATACCTATCAGAATGGCCAAAATCCAGAAAGCTGACAACACAAAGTGCTGATGAGGATGTGGAGCAACAGGAACTCTTATCCATTACTGGTAGGAATGTAAAATGGCACAGCCACTTTGGAAGACAGTTTGATAGTTTCTTACAAAATTAAACGAATTCTTACCATACAATCCAGCAATCACACTCCTTGGTATTTACCCAAGTGATTTGAAAGCTATGTCCTCTGCACATGCGTATACACAGGCAAAAAATAAAATAAAAAAATTAATAAATTAAAAAAATAATAATAAATTTAAAAAGAAAGCTATGTCCTCATAAAAACCTGTAACGGTGTTTATAGTAGCTTTCTTTATAATTGCCCAAACTTGAAAGCAACCAAAATGTCCTTCAGTAAGTGAATGGATAAATAAACTGTGGTATATCCAGACAATGGAATGTTATTCAGCAATAAAGAGAAATGAGCCATCAGGCCACCAAAATACCTGGAAGAATCTGAAATGAATATTACTAAGTGAAAGAAGGAAATCTGAAGAGGCTATGTACCATATGTTTCCTAAATAATGATATTCTGGAATAAGCAAAACTATAGAGACAGTAAAAAATAATAAGTGGTTGCCAGGAGTTAAGGGAAAGGGAGGGATGAATAGGCGGTGCACAGAGGATTTTTAGGGCAGTGAAACTATTCTGTATAATACTATAATAGTGGATGTAATTGCATACTTGTCCAAACTCATAGAATGTACAACACTAAGAGTGAGCCCTAATGTAAACTATGGACTCAGTTGATGATGTGTCAGTGTAGGTTTACTGATTGTAACAAATGTACCAGTCTGGTGAGGGATGTTGATAACGAGGGAGGCTATGCATGTTGGGGAGGCGGGGAGTATGTGAGAAATCTCTGTAGTTACCACTCACTTTTGCTGTGGACCTAAAACTGCTCTAAAAAAATAAAGTTTGTATTTTTTTAAAAGAGAAAGAAATCTTTTTTATCTCTTCTTTGCACAGGACTCATGTACCATGAAATCAGACATAAAGCCAAATCCTGCAAGTTGCTGAATTATAATGCTGGTTGAATTCACAGATCTCCAGATCTTTCATGTAAAACGGAGACCACTGATTAAGGGAAGGAGGGAGACCTTGAGAATTGGAATAGGAATATCACGGTTGATTTGGATAGATCTGAGTGTCCTAAATGCCAGCCCTCAGTGAGCCTCCTTTGGCAGCAAAAACAGCCCTTTCTCCCCAGTCTAATGGGGCTGGCCCTGCATGACTTGGGGATCCTCTCATGATGTGGCTAATCTTTCTAAAGATCCATCCATATCACCCCTTGCTGCCTCCAGACCCATTACTGGATTCAGATTTTTGAATGTTTCAAGGGAAGTCGAGTCAAACCTGTGAGAAAACACACACACAAACCTACGAGAAAGCATGCACACACACACACACACACACACACAAAAGATGTAGCTAATTTATATTGGCAGAGAAACCTCAATAATATGTGTGGGAATCAATTCTATGGATGATAGATCAGGGAGAAAGAAATGTAACTCTAGATCGGGCCAAACTTTTTATTGTGGTAACATATATATAACATAAAATTTGCCATTTTAACTATTCGTGAGTATACAATTAGGTGGCATTAATTACATTGTTGTGCAACCATCACTACTACAGTATATAGTCCCAAAACTTTTTCTTCACCCCAGACAAAAACTCTGTACCCATTAAGCTATCATTCTCCTATTCCCTCCAGCCCCTGGTGACTTCTAATCTACTTTCTGTCTCTATGAATTTGCCTAGTCTAGATAATTTCATTTAAGTGGAATTATATATTATGTGTACTTTGGGTCTGGATTATTTCACATATAATAATGTTTTCAAGGTTCATCTGTGTTGTACCATGTGTTCATACTTATTCTTTTTTATGGCTGAATAATATTCCAATATTTGTATATACCACATTTTGTTTATACATTTATCTGTTGATGGATACTTGGGTTGTTTTCACCTTTTATCTATTGTGAATAATGCTGCTATGAACATTGGTATATAAGTATCTTTTTAACTCTTTGTTTTCAATTATTTTTGGTACATGCCTACGAGTAGAATTGGTGGGTCATATGGTAATTTTGTTTAGCTTTTTGAGAAACCACCAAACTGTTTTACACACTGGCTGCCCCATTTTGCATTCCCACCAGTAATAATACCAGTGTTCCAATGTCTCCATATCTCTTTCAACACTTATTTTCCCTTTTTTTAAAAAATCATAGTCATCCCAGTGGGTGTGAAGTGGTATCTCATAATGGCTTTAATTGGCATTTTCCTAATGGTTAATGATATGTAGAATCATTTCATGTGCTTCATGGCCATTTTTATATCTTCTTGGAGAAATTTCTATTCAAGTCCTTTGCCCATTTTTCAATTGGGTTGTTTGTCTTTTTGTTGTTGAGTTGTATTTCATTATATATTCTGGATAGTAAATCCTTATAGATATATGATTTTTCAATATATTTCCCTATTCTATAGGTTGTCTTTTTCACTTTCTTGATAATGTCCTTTGATGCACAAAAATAATTTAATTTTGATGAAGTCCAATTTATCTGTTTTTTCTTTGCTTGTAGTGTCATATCTAAGAATCTGTTATCAATTCTAAGGTCACAAAGATTAACCCTTATGTTTTCTTCTAAGAGTTTTATGGTTTTAGCTCTTAAATTTAGGTCATTGATCCATTTTGAGTTGACGGTATATGGTGTTGAGGTAGGGGTCCAACTTAATTCTTTTGCATGTGGAAATCCAGTTGTCCCACCTAGCACCATCTGTTGAAGAGACTAATTTCTCCCCCATTGAATGGACTTGGAACCTTGTCAAAAATCAATTGGTCATTTGATTTTGTTCTTTTTCTTTTTTTTTAAAGATTGTTTTGGCTATTCATGGCCCCTTGCAATTCATTATGAATTTGAAGAATTTCCATTTCTGCAAAAATGCTGTTGGAATTTTCATTGGGACTGTTGAATCTGTAGATTGCTTTGACTGGTATTAACATCTTAACAATATTTGGTCTTCCAATCCACATAGGATGTCTTTCCATTTCTTTATGTCTTCTTTAATTTCTTTCAGCAATGTTTTATAGTTTCCAATGCACAAGTCTTTCTCCTTAGTCAAATTTATTATTAGATATTTTATTATTTTAGATGCTATTATAAATGGAATTGCTTTCTTAATTTCATTTTGGATTGTTCATTGCTAGTGTATAAAATCACAACTGATTTTTATGTGTTGATCTTGCACTCTGCAACTTTGCTGAATTTATTGGCTCTGTCTTTTCTACATCTGAAATGACTTTTCAACATCAATTGAGGTGAGCATGTGTTGTTTTTTTCCTTTGTTCTAGTAACGTGATCTATTACCTTGATCAATTTTGTTATATTGAACCATTCATGCATTCCTAAAATAATCCCACTTGGCTATGGTATATAGTACTTTTACTATGCTGTTGGATTTATTTTGCTAGTGGGGAATTTTGCATCTATATTCATAACGGATCTTTTTCTGTAATTTTCTTTTCTTGTGATGTCTTTATCTGGTTTTGGTAGGGCCAAACTTTTCGATATGGGTACACTCATCAGTAATCCTGGTTGTACTTTGTTAGCTCAAGTAGCTAGGAGTTCTACTGATTGACCAAAACCTGGACTCAACAGCAGTCTGTGCTATATGAGGTTAAGATGTCAGAAATTCCATGGTACAATGTAGACAGAGGGATCCAAATGGTTAGGGCAATGAGAATGTTGTAATCGATTAATCATTTGTAACCCATTCAACTCACCCTCTAACTATGGACATTTCTTTTACAAGGGCTTTGTGAAATACATTATGAAGTGTGGCAGAGACTAGCTAGGTGGACATTAAAGCTGTTTCCTCTTCCTCCTAGGGACAAATTCAAGCTACATTTTCCAGTGTCCCTTGCCTGCTGTCTGAGTTCTAGCTAATAGAATGTGAGAAGTGATGTTTACTACAGCCAGGCTTAGTTCATAGAAACCTCTGATATAGTCTTTTCCTCTTCTGGCTAGCTGGGATGGAGATGACAATAGTACAATGATGACTACCATGTTTTGAAGGTAGCAGACTCTCTGGATAGAAGGTGCTTAGACTCCTAAATCATCACTTAGAAGAGGGAGCCCAACTATTAACACCTGTTTTGGAATACTACAGGAACAAGAAGTAAACTTGTATTGTTTTAAATCTCAGAATATTTTTCTGTCCCCAAAAGCTAGCATTACCTTAACTAATACATAAATGTTCACCATCATGATTATAAAGCATAGCAATCATTTATTTCTGTAGGTGGGATTCATGGTGAGAGATCATGAATGAGCTCTCTGACGGTTTTCTGATTTCAATGAAGATGATAGGATCACCTCCAGAGAAAAGTTGAATCTGGTTCCTATAATGGACAGCAAGCAGATCCATAACAGTAATCAGAACAGTTTGACCTGTGGAATTCTGTAATAGTGGTTTCCCTAGGATCAAAATAGATGGACAGTCTAATAAAGTCCTACTTGTTATATAACAAAAAAACTTCTATTCTGGCAAATGGAGGCCTGATTTCGTCCCCCAAAATGTAGAGTTCCAGCTTTTCCCCTAGTTTACAGACCAGAGACCCCTGAATGAAGCAGAGAGTCCATTTGAAGAAGGACCTTGCTACACTTTTCACATGTGTGTATAGTGAAATCTCCCTCCTTGCTTTCCCCATAGGGACTTGCAGTTGGGGTAACTGTACACTGGGGACAGGGAAATATCCAGGGCTTTTGAAATAGACTTGTAATTTGTTCTGAGTTAACATCAATACCTGGTGATCCAGATTGTCACTGTGGTCCACCAGAGTAGGATTAGGGCATACATGAAATTTTCAATCTGAGTCTTTCTTATATTGGGCCTAGGAGAAATCCTGTGGTGATTTCTCTAGTTCCTGCATACGTTTTTGGAATACACACAGTATAGATGGCACAAAAGGAGGAGGACTACAGCAGAAGAACAAATTAATAAATGGAGATATCAGATTGAGGACCTCTTCTGGAATTCAACAGGAAAGAATAGAGATACAAAAAAAAACAAAAAAAAAACATTTTTAAGACTAAAAACATGGAGAATAAAATTGGAAGTGGCAACATTCTGATAATAGGAGTCCCAAAAGCAGAGAAAATTAAAACTGGAAAAGTGGATCTATTTTGTGAATGCCTGAGCATAGGACTCCAAGTGACCTGTGCAAGCTGAGTTGCATGGTGAGCTACGTGTTAACTCTCCCATCAAGCCATGAAGTTATCCATGTGCAGCAGCACTCCACCACCAAATAGACGAGGTTTATACAAGCAGGTCTAGAAGACAGAAGTAAGCTGCCTAAGCCAGTGGATCATACTCCTATCTGCTGCACTGCCATCCCTTTCTCACCAACACCTGGGGCCTCATGAGTCGTTCCCTGTGACCAGGTGACTAAGAGATACAATATTCAAGCTTGGTTCTACATATGCTGGCACCTGCTGAACATAGCTAGCTGTAGTGTTACAGCCCCACTTAGAGTTGATACTGAAGGTAAATTCTCCCACTAGGAAAACTGCCTGGTCACAGAGATAGTCAGAGGTATAGATAGATCTCCATTGATTCATGAGTAGTTGATAATGATTTGGCTAGATGGTCAAGGACTTGGAAAGAACAGGATTGAAATATTGTTGATAAGGAGGTCTGAGGAAGAGGCATATGGATGTCACTCTTGGAATGGGCACACAGTGTGAGGATATTCATGTCCCACACAAATTAGCACCAAAGAGAATCCACTGTGGAGAATCTAATATATTTTCTCTCCCATGCCCACCCTCCCAACTGTGGAGGATCTCATTCAAGTAGACAGGTAGGCGTCTTGTTCTGTGGATGCCAGTTAACCTCTATCTTGTCACCCTTTTCCTTGCCCAATGGACTCCTGAACAAAATGGCCATGGTGGCAGGCATGGAGGTTATGCATTGGGCTGTGCAATATGGACTTCCACCAAGGCCAATCGGGCTATAAGCCACTGCTGAGTGCCCAACCTGCCAACAAAAGAGAAACACCAAGCCCCTTTATGGAATTGTTTTTTCGTGGCAGCTGGTTCCAGAGACAGGACAAAATGAACAGAAACCACTGGATCCCAAAATTCTACTGGCAGGGAGCAGACTGGGAAAACTGCTCAGTTATAAACATGTGCTACCTTTCATGAAAAAGGAAGGAAGGCACAGAAGGTAGAACCAAGAACCCAGAGGACAGAGCCAAGAGCCATGGAGAAATATTCCTGGGCCTTGAAATCTAATCAAGGAACGTTCATTTTCCTAGCTGAATTTCAGAATTGTTATAGACCAGTGATGCCTTTGTGTCTCCCATTTTCCCTCATTTTGAACCGGAATGTCTGTAGTAGTCATCTTATGCCTGTTCCACCACTGTATGTTGTGTGTGTTGGGGACAGATAACTTGCCTGTTAAGTTTCACAGATCTAAAGATGGAGAAAAATAGTACTTAAGGAGCCATACTTAACCACTTCAGTACCGCGCTCACCGGCCGTGAAACCTTGCCCACAGCTGGCACTGATAGTCCGCATGATAGTTTGTGCTGTGCATTGACGACGAATCCGTTTTGCTCTTGTGTGATGAGGAAAGCTTTAAAGCACTGAAAGCTTGTTTTATTTTACAGGCAGCTTTACCTGTAATGTAAATATCAGAATAGGTAACATATACATTATGGTTTTTTTTGTGTGTGTTGTTTTTTAGAGACAGAGTCTCGCTTTGTTGCCTAGGCTAGAGTGAGTGCCGTGGCATCAGTCTAGCTCACAGCAACCTCAAGCTCCCGGGCTCAAGCGATCCTTCTGCCTCAGCCTCCCAAGTAGCTGGGACTACAGGCATGTGCCACCATGCCCGGCTCATTTTATGTATATATATTAGTTGGCCAATTAATTTCTTTCTATTTATAGTAGAGATGGGGTCTCATTCTTGCTCAGGTTGGTTTTGAACTCCTGACCTTGAGCAATCCACCCGCCTCGGCCTCCCAGAGTGCTAGGATTACAGGCGTGAGCCACCGCACCCGGCCTACATTATGTTTTCATTACATTAGTTTTAAATGTTCACAATTTTATTTTGATAAATGAAAAATTAGAAAAGTCATATCATGGCTAAAGTCAACGCTCGGCTGTGCACCTTCATATCACGGCTGTTGGCTAAAGTCACTGTGCGCGTTCATCTGTGGCTATCGACTATAGTCGACGCTGGTACTAAAGTGGTTAAGGAATACACCTAAAGACCCTCGTTCACACATGGACTTGATTTATATGATATTTATATGATGCTGTAATTGGATGAGACTTCTAGAGACCTTGGGAAGGGTTGAGTGTATTTTACATACAGAAGGAATGTGAATCATCAAGGACCAGAGGGTGAACTATAGTAGCCCCCAATGATTCCCACGTGCTGGTATTCACACCCTTGTATAATTCTTTCCCCTGGAGTGTGGCCTGGACCTAGTGACTGTTTTTTTCTTTTTTCTTAGACAGCCACAGAGCTATGAGTGACTTACATCTAATGAACAGAATATTGCAAAAGTGATGGGATTGCACTTCTGAGATCAGGTTATAAAGATTATGACTTCTGTCTTATATGTGAGCACTTTCTCATTCTGTCTCTGGCTCATCTCACTTAATTGCTCTGATGAAGCAAGCTGCCATGTTGTGAGCTGCTCTATGAAAAGGTCCACATGGCAAGAAACCTAAGAGTGACCCCCAGCTAACAGCCAGAAAGAAATTGAAGTCTTTGGGTCAACAACCCGCAAAGAACTGAAGTCTGCCAACAGCCACGTGAGTGAGCTTCAAAGAGGATCCTTCCCCAGTCAAGCCTAGAGATGACTGCAGCCTCAGCTGACACCTTGATTGCAGGCTGTGAGAGACCCTGAAATAGAAACGTATCTAAGTTGCACCTAGACTCCTAACCCACAAGAACTATAAGATAAATGGTTTGTTTTGGTTTTTTTTTTGAGATGGGGTCTCGCTCTTGCTCAGGTTAGTCTCAAACTCCTGAGCTCAAGCAATCCTCCCGCCTTGGCTTCCCAGAGTGCTAGGATTACAGGCTCCCAGCTGAGATAAATGTTTTAAGTCACTAAGTTTTTCAGGTAATTTGTCAGGCAGCAATACATAACAAATACAGACAGGCATGGAGGTTACGCACAACCTCAGCAATACGAACTTCTACCTGCCAAGGCCAATCTGGGTATAGCACTGCTGAGTTCCCAACCTACCAACAGCAGAGATCAACATGGAACCCCCACTACGAATTATTTCTTGGTGGCAGGTTGATTACTTAGGATCTCTTCTGTCCAGCACAGAAAATTCTCAGTTTCCCAGAGACTTGGTAAAAATCCCAGCTCTGCCAGGCTGACATGCCTGGGCCAGGCCTGTTCTTCTAGGGGTCTGGTTCCTGTGTGTCTGTCCTCCCTTTTATCTCACATAAGGCTTGATACCCAGGAGGGGGTTCACAAGGGACTGCTCCTTTCCCTTATCCTAGATCATGAGTAATCCAGGGTCAGGGATCCTCTCTCTATGCCCCCTAACCCCTCTTTTCCCATTACCACAACTTCGTGTCTTCTGGGAAGCATGGTTAGTATCTGTACCTTCAGGGCCCTATTGACTATGGACCTCAGACCCCAGGGCCCCCTCCCATGGGGTGGCACCCTATACCAATGAGCTTCATGCCATGCAGAGAAAAGAGAGCTCACATGCAGCATGGGGCTCCTACTACTGCTCCTGTCTCCCTCTTTCTGAGTCCAGACTCTGTGGGCCCCTGGCCTGGAAGTGAAGACAAAGGACTAAGGTCTGGGCCTTGCCTTCCCCCAAAGCTCCCAGTATGGAGAGCTTGCGGGTGGGAGAACAGACCCATTAATCCTGGTGTTTCAGACACAATTGAGGCACTAAGGAGGGGGGGAGGAGGGGGTCAGTTGGGCCTGAAGGAAGAGTTTGGGTAAAGTCCTCAGTAGAAGTGATGTCTTCCCATTCTCTTGTCACCTGTAGACTCAGGAACCATCCTGAGGGATGTGGCAACATTTCGGAGGATGCAGCAGCAGGGTAGTATGTCTATAGGAGAAAGTGAGACTTTGAGGTGAGAAGATATCCTCTGGTTTCCTGATCTCATTGTCTCCATCCCCTCATCTGGGGGTCCCCTAAACCAGTCACTCCTCCCTTTCTAGGGGAGCATCTGAGAAAGGAGGCCAAATCTGGAACCAGAGAAAGCTCTCTGCAAGAGATCTGAGCTGGGTCTTGTAGGATGATGGCTAGGGCCTCTCCAGCAGAGTTGATGGGATGCATCCCCGCCTCCCGTGAAGGGGGCAGAAAGTGTGAGATGGTTAGGGTTAAGTGCCAAGATGGGTAAGGCTATCTAAAAACTGGTGAGGGGTGGGCCCATACCCTAGAGCTATGGTCCCCAAACCCCAAGCCAGTCCCACCCAGTACAGGTCCATGGCCTAGTAGGAAACAGGCTGTGTATCACCGCCTGAACTCTGTACCACCTCCCTTCCACCCATGATACCCCACTCCCCCACCCTTAGTCCGTGGAAAAACTATCTTCCATTAAACCAGCCCCTGGTGCCAAAATGGTTGGGGACCACTGCCCCAGAGGACCCCCACCCTGGGCCCAGCAGTTCTCTAGCCTGGGAATTGCCGCAGGTTGTAGGCATCATCTCTTCCTCTCCTATCGGGCCACTTCTTTCCATGGCTGACTGCCTCAGAGTAGAGAGTGGTGGTGAAGTGCCAACACTCAACCCCTTCCTGCCCCCATCCCAGCTTTCACACTTGTCTCTTCTGTCATCTCCTCCAACCCTCTTTTCATGATCAATTCCAAGGAGTTAGGCAGACAAAAGACCAGCCTTTTCTCCTGGATTGGGACCTAGGGTCAAACTGGATCCAAGACAGGGTTGCCCACTGGCCTCTGCCTCCTTCTACAGCCCAGTGTCTCGATTGGAAGATTGGATGGATGAGGCAGAGCTGAGACTCTCCCACCAGTCAAAGCTGCCATAAGAGGGTGGGCTTTCTCATTCATCCTATCAACTGAAAATCTTGATAGAACAAAATGAACCTGTAGAACATTCAAATGAAGAAGAACAAAATAAGAGCGGCAGTGTGCTAAGTTCTTGATCAGGACCTAGCCTTTAGCCTCCATGCAGACCCCTGAGAGGAGGGAAAACCTTTGAGGAGCCAGGCATGATGGGAAGCTGGCTGGCTTAGCAGGGCCTCCATGCTCTCGCTTCCTCTTCTGTATCCTCATATCATGGGCACACTCCAAACACAGAACACTCAAGACCACAAAAAATGGTTCTTAGCCTTTGGAAGGTCAAGGATCCCTTTATGAGTCTGATATAAGCTGGTTAGTCTTCTTGCCAGAAAAACACATGCATGCAAACACCTACAAAACACACAAACAATCCCTGGTGACAGTCCCTAATTAAGTCCAGCATCCTCATCTTAAAAGACTTTGAGGTCCAGAAGGGAGATCTTTCCAATTACTCTGGGACCATTAATGGGCTTGAAACCATTCTGGAAGTGAAAGAAGCCAGACACAAAGGATCACATATTATACGATTCCATTTATATAAAATATCCAGAATAGGCAAATGGGGGAGGTGGGGTAGGAATACCTAAGGGACATGAAGTTTCTTTTTGAGGTGATAAAAATGTTCTAAAATTTTTTTTTGCAGTGATGGTACAACTCTGAGAATATACTAAAAGCCATTGAATTGTACAATTTAACTTGGGTGAACTGTATGGTATATGAATTGTATCTCAATAAGCTGTCTGAAAAAAGTGAACTCAGGGCTTGCAAATGACTACACATCTAAGTTTTAATCCCCATTCATCAGGGACAGAAAGAACTTGTAGACAAATATCAGGGAAGGGTCCTTGAATGTGGCATATGGGCTAGACAGGAAAGCATTTTAGAAAGAATGAGACTCTATATATAATCTTAATCTTAAGGGCAATGAAGCATCATGGAAGGTTTTAAGCAGTAATAAACAATCAGATCTACACTTTAGAAACAGCCCTCCGAATCACTGAATTGTACATTTAAAACAGGTGAATTTTGTGGTATGTAAATTATACCTCAATAAAGCTATGAAAAAAAAAAGTCCCTTTGAGTGCTACAGAAAGGTAGACAGGAGGGCACAAAGCTAGGGGAGGCTGTGGTACAGTTTAGGTGGAGGTGCCAGAGCCCACCTGTTTAGCTTTGGGGAAAACTGCCTTGGAGATGGAGTCAGGGAAGGATCGGGATTATCTTGGCCAAGGTTAAGGAGAAGCTAGAAGAACTCAGTTTCAGAAGCCAGAGCTCCCTGGCTTCAGCCCTAGTGCTCCCACCAGCACGACAGCTGCTCCACTGACAGGTGATAGAAGCACTGTTCTCCCCTTCAAAGAGAAATGCACTTCAGAAACATGTTTCCAAAAAAATGTTTCTAAGGGTTTTATTTCTAACAAGAGGAAAATAATAAAATAAAATTAAAATAGGCTTCAGTTGGAACCAAGTTTCTTGTTTTGCTTTTTTTTTTCTTTTGAACAAATTAATTACACACCAACAATCTTCTTTTATTACAACATGAAACCAGAAGGAGGAAAGGCGACAAGGGAGGACAGGGAGGGAGGACTGCGGTGGTTGTGAGGACAAGCACCAAAAGCTTTCTTCAAATCACAGGGAACCCTGTTCAGCTCCCCATCCAAATTCCTTTAAAATAAAAAACTGTGAGCACAGCTATGTGAAGTTTCCTCCTCCTCGGTGGAACAGTCAGAGGAAGGGAGGAGGAGGGAGGGAGGAAGAAAAAGAGGAGGGGAGGAGAGTGGGGAAGGGGGTTAGTGTAGCATGACCTGGCCAGGGCCAGAACTGGGGAGAGAAGGGAGAGGAGAGTCCCCCAGTTTGCATATACACTGGCCTTATCTCTGGAATGGTGCTGACCCAGCCCCAGCCACCCCCCTGCCCACCTGCCCATCCATCTGTCTATCTACCTCAGGTATCTGGGAATGCTGGTTAGAGGCTACCAGGGAAGGGGGACTCCAGGGGCCGGCCCCCAGGAGTTGAGGTCTGAACAATACCTTGGAGTCAGAATATAAAAGTCAAGGGACTCGGGGGCGGGCAGGTAGGGGTATGGCCATCCCCCTACCCACCCACATCCCAAGAAGCAGGCTTGATGGTCAGAAAGAGGATCCTTGAGGCCGAGGGGGGTCTCTGTCAGGGTCTGTGCTAGGCTCAGCCACTGTCACAACTGTTGCAGAGGTGGCTGCTGTGGGCTGGGCAGCTGCAGCCGGGGAGTCAGAGTAGAGAAAGGGGCCAAAGGGCCTAAAGTGGCCCCTGGTGCTGGTTCCAAGCCATTCTGGTTCTCCTGGGTGCTGGGGCTGCCAGTGGTGGGGAGGGATGTCGGGGGCCCCTCACCCCCAGTCTCCTCCTCCAGCTCCTCCTCCTCCTGGGCCTCCTCGGCCTCTGGCCCTGAGCTCCGTACCCTCTTTGGCTCTAGCTCCTCTCGGGCTGGGTCATCGCCCTCCCCACCCCGATCCACCTTCCGCCGCCGCCGCCTCTCCAGGGCCCGGCCCCGTGCCCGACTCCCATGGCGCTCTGCCTTCTCCAGCTGTGATCACAGATAGGCAGAAAGACAGGTTGTAGACCAGCGGTCAGGCGTGGGCTCCCTACCTAGCCTGACCTCCTGGCCCGACCTGTGACCCCTTTCCTCACCTCCAGAAGTGTACGGATCCTCTCCAGGTCTGGAGACTGTCCAGCCTGCAGCAGCTGCCAGATGCTGTGGTTCTCATCCAGGGTCACCTCAAGCAGGTCCCCTTCCATCAGGAGTTCCTCCAGGGGGGCCCGGGTTGCCTCAGGCAGCTCCAAGGCAGGGCCATTCAATTGTGGCAACAGTGAGGACAGCAGCTCCAGATCTGGGGGATTGTGGGGATAAGCTGGATTAGAGACTTTCCTTGGTCTTATGGGTCACTCTGGTGTAGTCAATAGCCTGCCCACACCACACCTAGACCTACCTCTCTTACCTGAGCCCTCCTCCAGGGCTACCTTCTCAGAACTGGTCACACTGTCTCCATTCTCCAGCAAGCCCTGGACCTGCCAAGGAGAGCAAGAATGGGTAGGGATAACTAAACTGAAGAACCAGGCCCTATTTTTCCTCCCCTAGCCTTGAACTTGGGGCTTCTACCTCCCGGAAGAAGACAGTAGACACAGGCCACCAGTAGGGAACAGTCTAAGGATCTGAATGGATGCAGGATAGGGCAGGGAGGCTGGGCCAAAGGAGGCTAAAAATTGGGGACCAGGGGCAGGGTGGAGCCTAAACAGGGCTAGGGACTAGGAGACCAGAACTTGAGAACAAAAGCTGGGCTAAACAGCTCACCTTAGGCATATTTTTGCCACTGCCTTCTCTGAGTGGGTCAGAGGCAGGGGCTGAAGGGCAGGCAGAGGGCTCCTCAGGCCTGGGTTCAGCCTGTAGCCGTTGGCGTAGCTCAGCCAGCCGTCCCAACAGAGCAGTCACATCCTCAGAGGCCAGGGCCTGTCTGGCACGGCCTTGCCAGCTGATGGCCCTCTCTGTGAGGCATTGCAGGGCTTCACCCTCGGGCAGTCGCACAGGCAGTCTCTGCAGGGCTACGAGCAGTGCTAGGATGGTCTCCAGGCGTGGGCGCCGTGAGCGCATACACAGTGGACACAGGAATTTGGTGTCCCATTCCCACCAGGCCAGCAGTGGGGATGAGGTGGGATTGGGCCTCGGAGAACTGAGGAGGTGGGGCACGGACACACACCGCCCATGGAACCAGTCCTGACACAGGTCACACTGCAGAGCTCCCACCCCAGCTGGCACCTGCCCACACACACAGATAGAGGTTGCAGAGGAGGCTGTAGTCGATGATGCCAGTGGACTGGGCTTGGCTGAGTTGGTGCGACGCAACTGCAGGATACCCTCCTTCTCCTTCTGTTCCCCCTCCTTGAAGGCCACGATCTGCCATGCCCAGGATAGGAGAGTAGGTTAGTAGCCTATTCCCTCCCTTCTGTGGCCCCCTTAACACCACAATCCAAAATAGGAGAACTGAAGCTCAGGAAGCAAGCGGTCTGCCCATGGTCACCCAGCTCAGACACTCTATTATCGCCAAGCTCTTCTTCCCATTTGTGTCTAAGCTCCTTACCACAGAGCCTGGGTCCCTGAGGTCCTGGGCAGACAGCCCCAGCAGCTCTGTGTCGGATTTGTACAACCCCAGCTCCTTCTCCATCCACCGGCTGCGCTTGGTGCTGTCTGAGCCAGCATCTGCACATGGGCAGAGCACCTGAGGCAGACACACAAAGGGGAAATGACTGGCTTTCCCCTACCTCCCACCGCTCCCCAGTATCTCCCCAAAACCCACATTCTCAAATGAGCTGTCTCACAGCAGCCAGGCCAGGCGCAAGGGAGGCTGTGGGTCAAGGTCCCAGGCCTCACCTCCAGCAAGGTGTAGCAAGAATTCTTCTTGAGGAAGGTCTTGGAGGCCTTCTCCCTCCAGGAGTGTGCTGTCAGTACCTGCAGCTCCAGCTGTCTCAGCTCCTCCAGCCCCACAGGTAGGTCTCGGCCCACAGCCACAAGGCCCTCCAAGTCATCCAAGCAAGGGTAGTGGTCACCATTCTAGGCACGAGGGCGAGAGAAAGCTCAGCTCAACTTGCCAATGTCTACTGACTACCAAGTAAGCACTCTATGACTGGCCCTGAGCTAGAAAGATAAATTAAACTCACAGTCTTAAGGCAAAAAGAAACAGGTAATATCCTAAGGAACACCCACCTGGCTCTCCCACAATGTTTGCATCCACTGATTGGCGCCTCAGCCCCAAGTATCCAGTCAGTTTCCAGGACCACCAACCAGTTATTTTCTTGTGGTTTGCCTCCATGTCCCTGCCCTACTCCACTTCCACACCACCCGCCTCCCTGGCCCACTATTCTCATCCTAACCAGTGTCCTCTCTTCCTTGAGGCTGGGCGACTTCTGGGGCCCCCCTTTCCTGGGGCCCCAGAACCTCGTCCAGGAGCACTAAATAAATCCACGTGCTCTGGCCTCTTTCTGTCTTTTCTTTTCGCCACTGCCAAAAAACATTACAGAGGCCAGCACACTCCTCCTCCTCTCTCACTGCTCACCAAGCACATTTACCTCCCCACTCTGTGTTGGGCCCCATTCCTCTCTAACCAACCCATGCCAGCAACCCAGTGTATGTGCCATCTCTTCCTAGCCTAGGGCAGAAGGTGGGGGGGGGGTGCCAGGGTCCTCACTTGGATCTCATCCACATCGGCAATCCAGGCCCGGGCTTTAGCAAGAGCCTCCTTGAGAGCCTGGATGTTGGGCAGGTGAACAGGGATGTTTTCTGCTTCACGGATTATGGCCTCGAGCGTGGCTGGTGGATGCTTCTGCCTAAAGGTAGGGAAAAAAGACAACTCAGTTTGGTGTGGTCTGCCTGACCAGAAGCCCAGCCTGACCACCAGAAATATCTGCCAGGGCCCCTTGGGCATTTATTCCTGCTGTCACTTGGGCCTACTTGCTTGTACTCTGCCTATCGGTGGCTGCCAGTCCCTGCTTTTCTCAGATTGCACATACCCAACTTCATCGTACTGCCATTGCTCTTGCGCCTCTGCTTGTCTGCCAGCCTGTTGGCCTGCTGGCAACGCCTGCATACACAACCTGTATGTAATCTGTTGCTACAGTTTGTAGGATTGCTCTGTGTGTGGCATCTTTCTACCAACATCTGTCCATCTGCCTGTTACTTGTGCTTCCATGCATGTGCACAAGTCAGCCTATAGGGCTAGTCCTCTATATACCTCTATACCGGTCTATCTCTGCTTCTATGTGCATATGGAGTTAATAAAAGGGCAAGATAGGGAACAAAAGGGGGAGGAGAGTCAGTTCACCAACAGATGAGTGTGATGGTCAAGGAAGGCCACCAATAAGAATCATCTTCAGATTCTCTGCTCTACTTTGAAGGCTGGAGTAGGGCAGGGAGGGGAAGAGGCTGGACCTACCTGGCCTCCAGGCAGAGGTGGGCTTTCTCCTCCCAGCGTTCAGCAATGGTCAGCAGCTCTTGTAGCTCAGCCCGGGCCTTATCCACAGCAGGGCTAGGGGCTACACTGGCGCCCGCAACCAACAGTCCCCGCATGACAGCTAGGGTGCCCCTTCGGGCTGAGGGGGCCAGTGTGCGTTTCACCTCATCCAGCCATTGCGCCTGTTCCACCTGCCGTTGGAGCTGCTGGGCCTCAGGCACCTCCACCCCCAGCTGCTGCCCCCTCTCCAAGAGGGACTGCAGTAGCCCTGGACTGGAGGGCAGCGAGGCCAGGGCCTCACGAGCCTCAGCCTGGTAGGCTTCCACCTGTTCCAGAATCCCCTACGAATATAGGATGAAGAACAGATTCCTCAGCTGAGCCCACTTAGGGGTGTCACCACTAGATACCCTTGCCCACCTACCTTCTTACCCTCTAAGCTTTTGGGGAAAGGAAACCTTACATAGGCAGGGCTCTCCTTTTCCAAGCCCTAAAATTAGTAGTTCCTAACACTGATTACTCATTAGAATGCCCTGGGGAATTTGTTAAAAATGTAGATTCCTAGGCCCCAATCCTAGAGATTCTTAACAAGGGCTGGTCATAAATTGGTGCTTTATTTAACTCTCCAGAGGACTCTGCTCTCGGAGCACCAAGAGATCCCTGGCCCTAAAAAACACTATTCTTAGCCCTTGCACAGACCCTCGTGCTCACATCAGCACAGCGTCTGCTGCCATCTCCATCCCGCTTCTATTCCACCTTCATGAACTTCACTCAACTTTCCAGGCCCAACCAGCACCCTTGTTGCCTCCTTCTCCTCTACCTCCTCCAGGAAACTTGCCCTTGACCCTGTATCCTGTACTCATACCCTTGCCAACTACCCCTCAAATCCCATTTCTGCCTCACGCCTCCTCTCTTTCCACACAAATGCATCCTGTTTTGCCCAAATACTTGAATCATTTAAAGGGAGCCAAGAGTGGCCTGTCGCTCAGGTCCCCAATCCCCTGATCCCTCAGCGATACTCCAAGCCCACCCCTCCTCACCTTGACATCCCCAATCTGGTGCATGGCACAAGGCAGGTTGTTCATCTGGTCCAGAAAGGCCCGGAGCTCAGCCAGGGTCATCTGTAGACCAGCCACCCTGTGAGGGCTATGGAGTTTCACATGTGGGGTTCCAGGTCCAAACCTAGTCCCCTCCCTCCATCTCTGTGCTAAGACCCCATCACCTTTCCTCACCATACCTGTTCACCTTGATCTCGCATAACTCAGAGTTCCCCCAACTGCCTAGGTTAAAGGGAGGGTTTTTAAATATAAGTATGTTCATACGAGGAGAAAGAATTTTAGAAGATGGAAATATATTGGGAGGTGGGGGAGGGAGCTTAAAAACTATGCTGAATGGTAACAGAAACTGGACTTTTCAATCCATCCTCTATTGTGAACTCTAAAGCTGTGCAGCTGGGACCAGGTTTACACATCTGTGTTCTGTTCTTGCCCCTAAACCTCCCACAACTTCTCCCTGCCCACAAAATCCCTCAGCCTGTCTCTCAAATCTCCACCAGGTACTGATAAAAATAAACACTTCTAGCTTTCTTATAATGGAGGCTCTCCTCTCCATTCTAAGTTGCCTGGTCTCCTTGCCCTCCCCAATACCTCCCAGGCTATCTCACACTGCAGTGCTTCGCAGCTCCCTGCTAATGTCCAGTCTGCCAAATGGTATTCAGAGTCCATCCACCCCATGTAGCACTTTTCCTAGGTGCTGGATCCTCAGCAGGCTATCTGTGCTCCAACACCTCACGCTGCCATACCCAGCTTCCTGGCCGCTGACCAGTCCCAGAGCTCGGGACACACAAGCCTCTGCCTCGCTCAGGCAGTTCTTCAGTCGCTGCAGCAGCTCACTGTTAGGAAACCTCCGCTCGCGGGCCTCAGATTCTAAAGCCCTCAGTTCTTCAAGGCCTGGAGGGAGAATAAGGGCCAGCAAGGAGTACGCAGTATAAGACTAAATACAGGGGGAGGGGGTTGGGGGTACAGAAGAAAAGGGAATAGAACTTGCCTGTGGAGTCCCTCCATCCCCCCCATCACTCACTGCGCTTCCGCCCATCCTCCACCTCCAGGGCCACTCGCACTTTGTTGGCCCAGGTGTCAAAGGACTCGGCCCGAACCTTCAGCTTATGCAGCATAGCAGGGAGCTCATCCAAGGTGTACCGATACCTGGAGGAAGAGGGCAGGAGATAGCATGTCTGGCCCAGTTCTGTATCCTCCTCATTGCCCCCCTTCCTCCAGGTAGGCCTGTGCTCACCGCAGGTACTGCCGGCTACTGGAGCACTTGCAGAGGTCGTTGATGTGGGAAAGGCAGACAAGGCCATCTGGGCAGTCATAGCAAGCCAGGGCTGACAGGAAACACGTGGTCTTGCACTTGATACACTGACGCTCGTCATCTGGGAGCAGCTCAAACGCCTCTCGCTCAGCCTCCGTAACGCCCTGGGGGCATTCAACCCACAAGGGTTATATAGACTCAGAACAGAGTAGCAGAATCATCCAGCCATCACAGCACCCCACTTTATTTCAAATCTATGCTGAAAGTCATGGGGTTTGGGAGGCTGAGGCAGAGAATTTTATAAAAGAAGAATGACATAAGATTCAAATCAGCAGAAAGGGCCTTGTGGATAAGAGAAGGTGAGGAAAGTGGTGGACCAGAGCACCAGAGAGGTGACAACGTGTTGAAGTGGCCAAGGGATGGGCCTGGTTAATATAGAGGGTGTGTCCTGGGGAACAATGCTAGCTTCCAGGATGCTCAGCAGGCAGAAGACACTGCATGCACATATATAACTTACAAAAATTCAACTGTATGTGCTTGTGTCCAGGGTTTAAAGATACAATCTTTTCCCCAAAAATCTGGCTTCCAAACCTAAGCCAATGACTCTATCTGTTGCTTACATGATAACTATACCATCTTTGTTGGGTTATTATGAGGATTAACAAACATAATGCAACTAAGGACTTAGACAAGTATTTTAGCACTTAGATCAAGTACTCGACAAATGTTTACTGTTATTAGCTCTAATTTTCAGATGAGAATACATATTTCACAGGCCTATTTCATTTTACTAAGGAGGAAACTAAGTCTCAGAAAGTAGTAATTTGCCAAAGTGAGGGTGTGACTGCAATCAATTTTGACTCCAAAGCCAGAGACTATTCTAAAGTCCTTAGGTTTTTTTTGATCATGGATTGAGAAATGGATGCAAACTATGAGTCCTCTCTCCAGAAAAGTACTCAAACACACATCCACAATCTCTTACAGGATTCTAAGATGAGGGTGTCTAGAACCCTTCTCTGAGGTAAGGGCCATATACAAAGAATTCTGAATGTCAGGATGAGAGGGTCTATTCTCCCACTTTGCTTTGGCTCCTTTCCATAGCCTGGCACAGCCACAGAGCCATCATTTAACAACAGCGCAGAAGAGAGAAAATGATGCCCAGAAAAGCCAGTAATTCAAGTACCATCACGACCAAGGCCCCCCAATTCCAACACGACTGTAGCTGTAATTCTTCCTACAGCCCACACTCACAGGAAAGTTATAAATGAGCTTTAAAATGAGAAAGTACTGCCCTAAACAGGCAGCAAGGGATCCCTCAGGATCAGCATTCCTTTGTAATCTTATGGAAGACTCTTACTAAGTCATTTCCCAAAAGTGTAGAACTTGAAGAAGGTGGCTGAAACTACACAAGTGAACTTTATGGCTCCGTAGCAGTTTCCACACATACATACACAACCAACACGTTTATGAGAAATCTATTACAGTAGGACCACCTTCTACTTGGTAATATTATTACTCTAGTTTGAGTTACTAAACCATCTGAATGTAATAAAATGGCATTTCCTAAGAAATGTCCCATATTTCAATTTATTCACATTTTAATATTACCAATAATAGCTCCTACACTGGAAAGGCAGCAAGACACCTTGATATAAATTACCTTATTCTAGCTTTACAACTATCTTGCAAGTGAGACATTTATTCCTATTTTAGAGTGAGAAAGTGAGACTATGAGAGATTAACTTGATAAGGTTGCCCAGATAATCAGCAGTGAGGGTTTCATATGCTGGTCTATCTTGTTGAGTCATTTAAATAATGATGAATACCAGCTATACCAACACCTGATATGGGTCAGTTACTGAACAAACATTATTTTTAATCCACTCAAGTATCCAAAAAGGAAGACATTATCATAATCCCGTTTTTCAGATAGGGAAACTGACAATGAAGTAAATTGACTTGTCCAACGTTGCTGGTAAAGGGTACACCAAAGAATGGAATGTGGTTTTCAATTCAGATGCTTCTAGTTATTTTTACTACACTCCAAGTGTAGAGGCTACATTTTCTCCTTCTGGGCACCGCCTTTGCCTCCTCCCAGCTCCACTGGGCTAGGGTACCTGACCTGGGGTACTCTTCCCACCACTCACCTTCTCCAGCAGGGCCTTTCGTAGACGCCTCTCCTCCTGCACCATGATAAACATCTCCTTATGCACAGCAGCCGCAAGGTTCAGGTCTAGCTTCTCTGGGCAGGCGGCCATCTTGCAGATTAGCTCCTCATGGGAGAAGACGCAGTATCTTCGGAGCCGCCGGTAGTGCTCAATGCACTGGCGCCCAGCTGGCAGCTGTGGATAGGTTCAAGGTTGAGTGTGGCCAAGTATGGAGGCCATGGTGCCTCAGCTTCTCCACAACTCTCCTGTTTCTCCCTGCCAGTCCACCACACGATTTTCTCACCCAGTCGGCAGTGCAAAAGTTGACGGCCTCGGCAAAGTTGTAGCCTTGGTTGAAGCCGCTATGGTAAGCACGGGGGAAGGTGATGACGAATTCTCCTGCACACTGGTTTGTGCGGACAACCTGAGGAAGAAGAAAGGCCAAGGCCACTGAGATAGAGGTTTTCTAGTCTGTAGACCTGATCTAAGCGCAGGGTCCTTAAGGAGACAAAGGAGAGTCTCAGGGAACAGAGTTTGACAATAGAATCCCAGACCCTCCAACTTTGAAAGGACCATTGGTCTCTGCCTTCAAGGTTTTGATCTGTTGACAGATGACGAAGATTTGAGACTCAAAAACGTACATATCAAAATATTCCAACTTCCTTAGTAACTTTTATAAAAATTATAAATATCGCTTTTTATTACGCTTGCCAAGCTTTTCTCATTAATATTTTCATCAGTCGCATACACAGTTTTAAGAATCAAATGGTCCCGTAATATGCTGAAATACATAAATAATCAAATGGTTCCATAAAATTTGTTGCAAAATCAGCAGGTCCTACCATTCTCCCCTCCCCAGAGCCAATATTTTCACCTCTTCTGGATATTTTGGCATTCACCTTAATAATCTTAAATAATGTTTCCAGACTATGTTAAAAAAATGGCCTATTTCTATTTATGCACACAAACTGGAAAATGTGGAGGAAATGGACAAATTTCTAGAAACACACAGCCTCCCTAGGCTCAACCAGGAAGAAACAGAATTCCTGAACAGACTAATCTCAAGAGCCGAAATAGAAACAGCAATTAAAGATCTCCCTAAAAAGAAAAGTCCCCGTACAGATGGTCGCACACCCGAATTTTACCACACTTACAAAGAAGAACTAATACCTATCTTGCAGAAACTATTCCACAACATCGAGAAGAACGGAAACCTCCCCAACACCTTTCATGAAACAAATATTACTCTGATACCAAAACCAGGAAAGGATGCAACAAAAAAAGACAACTACAGACCAATATCCCTAATGAATATAGATGCAAAAATTTTCAACAAAATCTTAGCTAACCGAATCCAGACGCTTATCAAAAAAATAATCCATCACGACCAAGTGGGCTTCATCCCAGGGATGCACGGATGGTTCAACATACGTAAATCTATACACGTAGTTCACCACATAAACAGAA